ACCCAGTTTTCCCAAGCATGTTGCTGCCCAGCACAGAATAACAGACTCGCTCTGTGAAGGCATGCCCCTCCTTGTCAAGTGTTTAAGGACCAACAGCAGCAACAGCAGAAGTGCTGACTAACAGCCCAGCCAGGTGAGCTTCTCTTCAAGCATTGCAATGCTCAAGCCAGACCTGCAGGAACTGGTCTGAATATGGTCCCGGTACTGACACCCAGGATTATTTCATTTACTACAACGCTTATGGGTCATCCACCTAACTGAGCAATTAGAGGACTGCAGCTTCAGGGCTCCTGGTGTGGAAATCCTGGGAATTTGTAAAAACAAAAGGGTCAGAAATGTCAAATTAGAAAAGGCAGGTCAAAATCTAATCACCCTTTCCTTCCTCCTCTTAGGAAGGCAAGCAAGAGGAAATAACAACATGGAAGACATCAGTCAGTAAATCAAATGCTTTTATTGACATTCTTTCTCATTTGTGACCCTTTGTCATTTACTTTAACTGCACAAACCAAAATCAGTAATTTGACTTTAATTTTTGTAAGTTACAACTTCCATAGCTTTTGCATTTTTTATTGAGAAGATAAAATCATGGATAAGTCTCTACATGGACTCAAAGGTAGGAAGCAACTTCTTACTAATCTTCATGCAAACTACTGACTCATTATTGGAGACTGAGGTTGAGTGTAATTTCAGGAAAAAGTTCACTCTTATGAGTATGTTAATCTAATAACTAGCTAATTTATAATCCTTTCACAACTGATGTAATTTTCACATATTAGATAATAATTATAGGCATATTAAGCAAAATTAACGTTATTAAACAACAATGAACAGCCTTCTAAATATATACTATGGTAATGCAAAATCTGAGTAATTTAAAGTGTCTTACCTAGTAAAAGAGCATAATTTTCCATTAAAGCTTTTCTAAGCTTCTAGAATTTTTTGTCTTACAGGTCTGGAGTTTTTAAACAGAATAAATCTAACATTCACATTTACAGAAGAATTTACGCCTGATCCAAGAACTCCAGGGACACTTACACTTTCCAGTCTATTTCTATTATACCAACAAATTATGCCCATTTGAAAAAGGAGCTATTGCTTTATTGTGGTATTACCAAGGAAGCTGATTTCTGAGCACACTGGATATATCTTGTGCAATGAGTTTTCCAAGAGACTAAAATGTATTGCTGCTGCTCTTCTCTATTTCTTGCTCTTTTGCAAGCATACTCTAAACTGCACACTTGGCTGCCTCTAAGTATATATTTTATATGGGGAATATTATTGTTGATAAAAATAAAATATGTAAGTTATTCAATATGAATGACTGCTCATCTTCCCCTTGATGTATATAAATAAGTCACATCTAATATAAGTGTAAACTCAGGCAACTGTAGTAACTCTGTGGCACCCATACAATAACAAAGAGGGAAAAAAAAAAAAAGTGAAATGCTTCCAACGAAACAGCTTAAATTATCCTTTAAAACAAAACAAACAAAAAACCTAATCCCAAACCACCCTGAATTCCTTTTACTAACGTTTTGTTTCCTGAAGGTTTCTCTATAACAAGGCTTTCCTAAAAGAATACACTTAAGGAATCTGCAGAAAATTATCGTAAGGCCCAACAGAGAACAAGTGAACTACTTATCTATTTTCCTCTTTTACTGGAAGCAAAGGTCTCCTGAATCATAACTCTCTATATAAGTAGGGTTTCTGCACAGAGCAGGTTCAGCTTTGCACTGAAGGAGGAAAGAAATGAAACTTTCACTCGTGGCTTTCTACACATCAGCCTGGAACTACTACACACCCTGGCTCCCCCACGTAATTCCCAGAACAACCTGTGGCTGCCACAGGTGAACTTAACCATAATTTTTAGGAGCACCGCTGCAGACACATAAACCACAAAAATCTCTTGGTGGATTATTAACTGAATGAATGCTTGTAGTAGAGCAGATGGACTTTTTCTATATTTAAAAAAAAGCAAAGCAAAAAACACGTACATGTGAAGGAGGAATGGCCATACCGCTGTGCAAACCATTTTCTTAACCTACATTGTTATTGGTCCCAGCCTTAAGAGATCTGCAAGTTTCAACTGATACAAGGATTCCTACAGAATGACTGCACTAAAACAAAGTCCTTCCAGTAAAACAAAATTATACAAATAATTTAAAGCATTAAGTTCCAGGTTATGTACATGCATGTAGTTCAAATACTTCTTTTTCTTACAGAAAATACCAGAACTAGCAACAACAACAATGAATTCCAAAAACCCACACAAATTTTGCCCCCAAGATTTAATCAATGGGATTTGAAAAACAGCATCAAATATTCCGAAATAATTTATAAGCTGTAAAAGCGGTGGACTTGAGACATTCAAAGTATATCAGTTGTATTAAAATTACAGTTATTACCATTTACTGATGATAGGCTGAGAAAAAGAGTGAAAGAACAGGGAAAAGAGCAAATAAAAATACTGGTGAGGTCGTAAGAGACACTGGTTCAATCTCTAGTTGAAAGGATTATGTACAGCAAGGAAAAAGCTTCTTTCTCCTTTACTCCCTTTTTCGAAGAGATTGCATATTGTCAAGGTCCATTTCCATTAGAGGAATACATTAAAATAATTTTTAATCTATATTCTATTTTCTGGCCTATAGAAGGTATTCAAAGACACCGGAAAGACTAAACTTCTGCCAAGCAGATTAAACAAAATCGCATTCCTACATATTTTAACTATACAGTTACACATCAAAATTCAAAACAGAAAAATAACTTGATGCAAATACTCAACAAATACATAATTATGGATTCTGATAAATCTGGGGGAAACAAGACTATGAAAGGAGTGCCTGAACTTGATGAGGAGATCTGTGTAGTATGGTTTCTGGATCCTTATATTCATTTGAAGGATCCATCACAGCTGCATATAACTCACTGTAAGCTCTGCAGACCAGTTCTGTTGACTGTTTTATTATCTGCTCTCTAAAAAACAGAACAAAAAGATAATTTGCAAATCACGGGGAATATAACTGTGCTACATACAAGGAATTGAAGATATATGCTAAAAATGCACGTTAAAAATGAGTGTCAGTTACATTAAAAAGCCCTTTTACTTCAACTGCGAAAACAGCTTCAAGTTTTAAAACAAAGGCAGGCTTCTTCATCTCTTTGTATCAAACATAAACTCACATATATGATCCTAATAACCAAGTAATTAGCTGCTTTATTTCTGCAATCATAAAAAAAATAGAAGGACTTAATTTGCATATATGAGGTTTTTGCCTGCACTCCGCTGCATATTTTGAAAGACTGATAATCTTAGTGATCTACCTTCTACCTCCCGTGGCTTCTCACTGTCCTTTGCAAATACACACATTTCATCTATCAGCAAATATATTCTATTTGCTTTATCTTGACAGCACCTGATTCCATAATCGGTCAAAAAGGAAGAGCTGAAAGTGATAGTGGTCAGAAATTTAAAACCTGCTACAGCCTTTTACCAACAATGCTATGAAGTCTGTATCCTGTTATTCTTCTAGATCTAAATGAATAACAATGCACAGAGATTGGATGCTAAATTTAACTGGAAAGTTTAAGATTTAAGAAAGTTTAAGATTTTTTTTTTTATTTATTATAAAAAACAATATTTTTACTTTACATTGCCCATTGAATCGGTTTACTTTAATCACCATGGTGATGTGTTTACAGTTGCACATGCATTTTTATCTATCAGAAATAGTAGTTAAAACTATTTTACAGCCAAACCCATGCAAGTGGAACACCAGGAGAAGCTGAGGAAACCAAGGTAACCATGAATCCAGATTCAGTCCTGATATAATACGCTGCCAAGGAATAAAGACACGAAAGCTGCATCCACTAAAATCAGGGTGGAATTCACCAGCTGTTGGGAACTGACAAGTTAAAGAAATCTCAAAGACCAAGTGCGTAGAACTTTGTCTTTTCAGGCAATATGAATAAACGGAAGCTATGAGAAAGAAGAGTAAGACACAAAACCTGCATTTTATTCTGATGCAAAGTATCCAGTTTTTCAATACAGGATCAGTAGATTACTTAGCGTACCTGAAAAACAGACTGGCCTTATAATAGAAAATTTAGAAACACTATTGTAAGGGACATATATTCAAGGTGTTCAGGTAAAAACCAGCTGTCTCTGAACACAGTCTGGGATCACTAAGCTACTGTAACATGACAAGCTTTTAAGAAAGTATTGCACACAGAATTTGTATAAAATCAACTATATTGCACCAAATAATATTAAATTAAAAGAAAAAGTTCATTACAATATTCCAGAGGATTGAACAGCATCAAATGAGTCTTTCCATCACGTCAGTGTCATTAATCAGAACATTAGGATTTCAGTTGCCATAACAACGTGATACATTTTATCACTAACACAAATGGCAGCACTTTCTAAAAATAGTAATGCCAGCATTCAGTTTCTGTGACCCAACACAAATGAAAGAGCTTTTCAAGACCAACAACACATAAATAAATAGCTTAAAACTTTTTAAATGAGCAAAGGAATTTGAAAGACAAGAGCATGCACTGGGAAATGTTGAAAGGAATGCTCTTCATAGTTATAAAGCTTAAATGATATTGCCAATGAATATATAATACACTGGTCCCTTATCAAAAGCATGTGGTCTGATTTTGAGAACCAAGGAGCTCTTGGGTTCCAGCTTAACCGCTGGAAGGGTGGATCACAATTATGTGATTTCAAGGAAGACGTCTTCAAAAGTGACAACAAACGTCTGCAAAACTAACTCAAAAATTTCAACTACTATAGCCAGAGATTAAAATTATAGCACTCAAATGTTTTGCTTGAATCTTGAGAAACTTTTTTATTTTGAAGGTTTATTTACTACAGAAAATACTGACTACTAAGTCCCTGATTCTACAAGCATGTATCTCTGTAAATACGTGTCTTAACTTCAGAAGGATTGCTTGTGTTTAAAGCTACATGTTTGAAGGCTAACGGGCTAACAGACTTTTTTTTTTAATTCAGAGCAGAACCTGACCTACAGCATTGAGTTACAGCAGGTTAATAAACTCCTGCATATTAGCTGAGCTGTACCAGCTATAGCAATCATCCTCACACAGGCTTACCTCTCAGCTGCCCACTGTTGCAAGATAACATGAATTTGGCTTAAATTTCACTAAGGTTTAAAAAGCTTATCAATGGGCTAAGGCTAAGAATGCGTACATGACTGGTTTATCTTGGTTCATCTAACAGAAGAAACGATTAAGTCAGAGTAATTTCACTGTGCCTGAGTCTTTATGGTAGCATAAAGTCTACCTCTGAAAAATTGCTTCTGTGTTAGCAGTGAAAAATTGAGGCTTTCAAAATACATTTAATGTTATTATGATTTTTAAATAGACCTACATTAAAAAAAAAAGAGCAAGAGCTAAAATACAGGTTTAACAGCTTGAAACCTAGAAGCAAAAGTTGCAATGCTTCACTGATATTACTGCTCAAGCTACCGTGTTTGATCTGTACTGGAGCAGAACAGCTCTTGAACAACAGGGTTAGCTCTGCTGGCTGAGCTGTTGGAATCGTAACCCTAGCAGAGAGACCCAGCAAAGTACCGACAAGCACCAACATCCCCCACGCCAAGCCACAGACCACGTGTATGGCAGGAAACTGGAAGTCTTTGAGTGAGGAGAACCTGAGCAATACAGCAGGAGAACCTGGCAGCTGGACTAGCTGATCATTGTAGGTCCCTTCCAACTGAACTATTCTATTCTATTCTAATAAGTTCCCAACAATAAATACTTTTCCCTTGACGTATGTCATTTTTTAATTGCAAGATGCTGTAATACAATCCCACTAAGGACAGGTACTAGTAATGAGACTCCAAATATTGTTACATCACATAAAATGTGATGTGCTAGTCTCAATTTCTGGTATATTCCATAACCTGCATTCTTCGCAAAAGTGTGAAAAATAATGTCAAGAAAAGTTTTTGATCAGCGCAGCATATAATTCTCTGAGTTTAAGTATTACAAAATGTCTTCATATGGCTCACATTTAATTGGGAAGAAATTCGTGGCACTTTCTCTAGCCTTAGGGTTCAGTTATATTCAAAAAACAAGACAAGAGATAAATAATAAAGTTCGTGCTTCCACACTTCAAAGAAGACATCACTAAAAAAAAATGCATTAGGTGAAAAGTAAAGTAATCTCAGCACAATATTCAATGAGACAGAATGCCAATATTCTACAGCAGAAGACAACAAAGTTGAAAATTCTAGACCTGACGGAGCAGTGGGGATAAAAGAAATCTTGAGTGGAGAATTACCTATTTCATCTGTCTTTGGAATGCTTACAAAATAGTTCTAAAACAATTTGCAACTAAGTTGACAAAAAACTGCCAGCACAGTGGAACATGTTCAAAATAGATGAATGTAATTAATTTTGATGGTGTCCGTTAAATCAGGAGTAACTACTTCAGAAAGTTACAGAATTACATATTCCTCACTGCTTGTTCAAAAAGAGGAGAGTCAGAACAAAACTGAATTGTGACCTGAAGGACAATGCAAACATGATCACAGCTGATAACTTGAATTCTCATAATGATCCACTAAAACCTAATCAAATTCATCTTTCTGATCATTATGCAGGCATAATAGAAATTCAAAGGCAAGATACTTACTTCACAGTGGCACTCAGAAGGAAATTTAGCTGGGACATTAACAGACTATCTGGAGCAGAGAGATAGCGATCAAACTGAGCCTAGGGGTGGGGGGCAGGGAAAAAGAATATGAGATCAACATATTAAAAACTTGCTGTTAGATGAAAATAGGTAAAAACACAGATCTCTGAAAAGTGATTACATTAAAACAGCACCTTCTTATTTGATAAACATTTCTCTTTTTATATATTTAAGATGGAGCCTAACATACTGTACAAATGTTTAAGGCAGAACTTAATAGTCCAAACCAAATGGCTAACTTCAGCACCTCTGTCACCAAAATTTTAATTTTTGTTATTGCTGAGCAGTGCTTACACAGAGTCAAAGCCTTTTCTGCTTCTCACCCCACCCCACCAGCGAGCAGGCTGGGGGGCACAAGGAGTTGGGAGGGGACACAGCCGGGACAGCTGACCCCAGCTGACCCAAGGGATATCCCAGACCATACAATGTCATGCTCAGCATGTAAAGCTGGGGGAAGGAGGAGGAAGGGGGGAATGTTCAGAGTTATGGCATGTGTCTTCCCAAGTCACCATCCTGCGTGACGGAGCCCTGCTTTCCTGGAGATGGCTGAACACCTGCCTGCCCATGGGAAGTGGGGAATGAATTCCTTGTTTTGCTTTGCTTGTGTGCACGGCTTTTGCTTTACCTGTTAAACTGTCTTTATCTTAGGCCATGAGTTTTCTCACTTTTACCCTTCCGATTCTCTCCCCAATCCCGAGGCAGGGGGAGTGAGTGAGCGGCTGTGTGGTGCTTAGTTGCTGGCTGGGGGTAAACCACGACATATTGTAGCTTTCAACTTAAATATACAACTGTGACATATGCCCAGCACCTAACTTCTGAGTTTAGCTGAACTATTTGCATAAAATCAAAGCCTTAGGACTAAAATTATAAATGATAGCAGAACCTATATTTCAAAGCATACAGACAAAAAAGAGACTTTGGTGATTAAAACTAATTAGAGCTAAGTATTTGCTTTTAGCAATTTAAGATGACTCATGGGATAGCACTCTTGTAAGTAAAGTTCTATTTCTCAGGGCTTAGAAACTAATATTCTATTACTACCCATTCATAAATAATGTATGTATTTATTACTTCAAGTGGTCAAATTACTACAAACGAAGAAAGTATTCCCAGACATGTAATTTAGCTATTCTTATAGAGTATGACTGGTTAGATGAATATCTACTACATCACATAATTAACAGTATTCCTTCCCATGTCACAGCACCACCACCTTAATATGAAATTGTAAAATGCTTACCATTGCAACCTTCAGGGACACAGAATCCATACTTGGCAAATTTGAAAGAGGACCCTAAGAATCAGTAGTCAAAGGGGGAAGGTGCAAAAAGGTCATACTAGTATATGGAAAAAGGTAAGAAATAATAAATTCTACAATCAGTTCAGTACTAAATTGTTATTTGGTCCTGCTACAGGATCTTAAACGTTTGGAAACTGAATCACTATATCAATACTGAAATGCTGTAACAGTTCATTTGTATTCTACCGCTCTCTTAAATTAAAAACTCAGAATACTGAGTTCGTAGTACATCCTTTCAAGTCCTTTTCTTCCTTCTTCACCATTAAATGATAAACCCCCAGAAAAGCCTTCCACAAGGTCTAGGATAAGAATTGAACTGCAAACTGGCCACATCCCCTTGGTGTTCCAGAATTACAGGGGACAACTTCCCTCTATTCATCTTTTCTGGGACCGTGCAGAATTCAAGCCTGCTTCCCAGTACATCTTCTGTGCTGGTATGGCATTACAATGTGTACATGCTGCCTAACTCCCTAGCAAATCCTGTGATGATGTCACCTCTGTGGCCAGGCTGCTAGACAGATGTAAATGAAAATTGCTACATTCCATTAACAAGCTGCCCTGGTCGATTTGAAATTGTTTTTAGAACAGGAGATAGGCTCATGAATAGGAAACCAAGCTGAGTTATTAATTAGATTATTTATACATTTATTTGTTCATCTTTATACATAAAAATCTGTTGAGTTTGGGCACTTTATGCAAAATTATTGGCTGAAGAAACAACACAAAGCTCTCCAACAGAGTTCTGCTTTCTTCAGAAAACACTGTTCTTCACCTTCACAAAAGGACATAGGGACAGCTGAAGGGAAGAGGGGCTGTATTAACACCTATCACGTAACAACTGTGGTTCACAAGAAAGGATAAGTGTAAGCTCTGAGTTCCAGTTTTCAGCTCACTCTAAGAAATCTCAAGTTTTCACTTGTAGAATCTCACTGTCTTGGTGTTAGAATAGCTAGAGCAATGAATAAGGTCAAAAGAAGGAATTTTTTCAAATTACTACTAAACTTAACTGCCAATTTTTCACAGAAGAAAAAAAGCAGTAATTATCTAATGCATGCAGGGTATCTATCCACTCCATGTATGCTGCTATAGCATGCAACAGAAGAAACCTGAATGCTACATGCACAGTAGGTCCAATATGTTCTAGGTGTCATGGAAGTAGTATACATGCTCAGTATTTGTGGTTCAAAGCCAGCTTGACGCTGACACCTTCTGAGGCATATTAAACTACCTATACAGTTATGCTGAGAACGTACAGGATGTCTGTGGTGTGCGGAGCCTGTCGATGGTACACAGATAAGCTGCACAGAAGGACTGTTGCATACCAAACCTGCTAGCCTTGCTGATTATACAGGGTAGGGAAAATCTGTAGTTGCAATATGCCTTTGTCTAATAGTCCTGGTTCCATGGGAAAAATCAACAGATAGTACTGAGCTTTTGCTTTCAGAGGAAGCTTAATTTGCAAAAATATTAGTGCCAAAATTCTTCTAGTTGGCAAGTATGCAGTACCTCCTCAACACATAAGCTTACCTGTTCCGGTTTGTGTTGCTGCAGAGAGTTATATATGTAACTTAGACCAGCTCTTGTTAACACGTAGGAAGCTTGTTCATTTATAAGTGTATCTAAATGAGCTTCAATCTGAAATTTTAAGCATAAGGTATTAATAAAATGTGCATGAGAATATTAAATAGTACAAGCTCTGAGGTTAAAAGGTCTAGAAACACAAATAAGAAGAAAAAACACAAATAAGAAGGAGAGTGATCAACAAACAAGGAAAAAACCACAAATACATACAGCATAATTATTTTATCCATTTACATCTTCCATATTACAAGGAGCCAATAATAAAAATATAGATAATTCTTTCATGTCTGACTAACAGAAGAACCTATTTTTTTTGTATTTGTAAATTCAACAGCAACAAAAATTAAGAATACCAAAGCTCTAATCTTAAAAAATGCTGTATCATTTTATTTTGCTATAGTTCTTTGAAAATATGTGATAAAAATCATCCAACTCTTATTAAAAATATTGACAATAGCACAGCAGTTTTATAATAAAAAAGAGACAGTCACAAGGAAAATAAAACTGAAACTAAATCATAATCAGTAATGATTTTAAATTCAATACTGATAAACATGTATGAAAAAATTAACTGAAAGAACAATAGACAATGAAATTACAGCTATCAATTTTGCTTTAGTTATCTTCATATGAAAAAAGTCATAAAGGTATTTTACATTCTTAGCATAATCTTGACTTTGCAGAGAAACCTAATCAATAAATCCAGTCACAGCAGCAGCAATCATTTTTTAGTTTGAGTAGTCTTGGAAAGGTATTTGGGTATATATACACTATGACTCCATTTTTACAAATAACTACCCCACATTTCACTTCTTTTTCTTCCAATCCTAAAGAAAAGAAAAAATTTATAATACATCAAACTCTAGTAAACTGTAAGACTTCCATGTCTGATATTTTAAGAGTTCACCTTTTTACTTCCTAAAATTGTTTAGAAAAATGCATTTTTCTTTTTAAATCAGGAGGGAAATCTTAATATTTCAATTTGGAGATTTTATCTGTCTTAGAGAGTTCTTTTTTCTGTGAAAAATGTTTCTCTTATTAAATATGCCATTCCAGCTCCACTTTAATAACCTACTTATGTATAATCTTAAAGATATTTTTTCAGTCTGTTCCTGTATTTGTAAAATGTTTGAAGAAAGTAAATGGTATTAAATGCATAACCTTCAGTTCTACTGCTTCTCTGAAGAATAAATCAATTGCAACATTTACTGTGAAAAAGAAACTCTGATAATGGAAATTAGAAATGCCCCAGACAGTTTGGTAGGGTTGTCTGTTTGTTTGTTTCAGAGCTAAAAGGTGCTAGAAATTCTAATTAGGAGTAGAAAGTGAAAAATGGCTCACAGCCAATCTTTACTGATGCTTTCAAATAAGAAGTTGAGACTTTTTTCCAAGCCCCTCCCCAGCTCCAAAACTTCTCCTGAGACATACTGCAGAGATGTTCATGTAGCAAAACTATAAATGGGCAGCACCTGTTTCCCCAAGTCAATGGTTTAAAAACTGCGTTTCCGTTTCAAAATGGTACCACATATGAACTACTATCTTGGCACGTTAGGTGAAACCAAACAAATGAGAAAAGAAAGGTAGAAAGAAGGACTAAAGTAGTAACTTCAGCTATACTATATTCTAGATGATGATCTAGTATTAACTCTGTGATGGAATAAAGTCAGCCATTTGATTGTTTGAGCTTTCAACTCCCATTTACTTCTCACACAGTTTGCAGATAAATATTAGAATGATTAGGATAACGAAAATGTTCACTGATAAAGGTTTATCTGCAATTAAACCAAACCAAACCAAATCTTCTAAACATTTTTCTGTTTGTTAAAAATGAAAGATGCTATGTACCATAAGCTCTGATACCTACTATTTGCTTATGGTCTCTGATAAGAAGCCCTCTTATCCCATTTCCCTGATTTAGAATTGACCCAAAGCCAACATTATCAAAGATAAATACATTCACATTACAACTTATAGTCTTCAAAAATCAGTAGTAAGTTAATTTTCTTTTGGGGCTGTTAAAGCTTACCTGAAACTGTAACATTTCTAGACGCTTGTCAGTGAATTCAAAGAGAGCCAAAGTAGTCTTCATCATATAAAGCGAATTTACCATGAAGGTTGCCATATCAGCTGTGCCCAAATTACTAGCAGACATAGTGCACATCTGTAACAATGGATCTAGCACACAAGACAGAACCTAAAATAGCAAACACATAGAAAACAGGGAGGGGAGGGGAGGGAGGAAATCATGTCACACGAGGCTTCTAAGCTCATTCTGTCTCTATCACGTATTTATTCCCCAAAGCAGAATAAAGAGAAATGAGAGTTTCCAACTGTGAAAGCAGCTTTCTACTGGATTTGTCAGCAGGTGATCAGCTACCATAGTGATGGGGAAAGTACAAAAACCTGAGAAGAACAGATTCCAACCTAGCAGGAGGAAGAGTAACCCAGATTAGATAATTGGCAATTGTGCAATCTTGAGGGTGTATTTACTTAATGGAGTAGTAATTGGATAACAGAATCTAGATACTGCATTAAGATAGCACTCCATACTGTACTGTAATTACCCACTTTGTTAGTCACTCTCTTATTCACATTACAAACTCGGGTTTGGTGGGAAGCTCCAAAATGGGACCGGACAAAAAGACTAATGTTTCACCCATCTTTTGTGTACCGAGACTAACTTACACATACTTCCCCCCCCCCCCCCCCCCCCCCCCCCCCCCGCCACCCTCCTTCATCCT